AAAAAAAAACAATATTTTGTACTTTTTGCTATAAAACATGTCCAGTAAAAAAAAATGTAAAAATCAAATTTCATCATAAATTTCGGCCAAAATGCATTCTGCGACATGTCTTTGCTAAAACAAAACCCAATACGTGTAAATTAATTGGTTTACGTGAAAGTTATAGCGTTACGGGAAAGATACTCGGATTTTTATTTTTTTTTTATACTAATAATGGCGGCGATCAGGGACTTATGGCGGCAATCAGGGACTTATGGCGGTGATCAGCGACTTATGGCGGCGATCAGCGACTTATGACGGCGATCAGGGACTTATGGCGGCGATCAGTGACTTATGGCAGGACTGCGTCGGACATTCTGACACTGGGGGGGAACTGACTTAGGGTCACTGACATCCCCAGTGACACCAATAGAGTGATCAGTGCAAAAAAAAAAAACACTGACACTGTACTAATGGCACTGGGGAGGAAGGGGTTAACTTTTTTTTTGCACTGAAAGGGTTAACTGTGTGAGGGGAGTGTTTTACTAGGGGGCGGGGGTGTGTACTGCAGGGAGACACGCTGATCAGGAGAGAGAAACTCTTTTCTCCTGGTCAGCTTGTCAGGAACTGTCAGGGAACTGACAGAAAGCAGAGCTACTTCAGCCCTGCTCTCTGTCACTGATTGCCGCTAATCACTGGGACACAGCTGATAATAACCGGCTGTGACCCGGCGACTGACACTGAGATCGGCAGTGAAGGTAGGGCGGAAGCGCGCCTCGCGCGTTCCCCCTACCTGTTTTGAAACAGCACGTTTTAAAACAAGCTTTTGCCCAGCCGTGCCGCCCTGCCAGCGTTTTTATACAGTGGCTGGACGGCTAGTGGTTAAAGAAAAACATAACACCGATTGGAGTAAAATGGCCAACATGGCCTTTTATTAACACTTCAACTACAATACACAAAACATTCCTTAAAACAGAAACATATAAGAAAAGTTGTTGGTCTTCGAAGGCACCAAACCAGAACCGATATCCACCTGCGGAACCAATACTATAACTAGGCCTCCATCCGCAACGCACCATCTCGGAGACAACCACACCATCCGCAGTGCAGAACCACCACCTTCCAGTTAAACCTCGGTTAACTGGAATACCCCCGAGCACACCATACCACCGATGGGTCCCACACCATTATCTTTAGCTTCAAAATAAGTGCCGCCTCCAAAGACCAACGACCGCCCCCAGAACCAGAATAAACCCCCGGGAGAAAACAAAACACCCACTCAACCCCAAGGGAGGGCGGGAGGGAAGCTCTCTCTCCGCTGTCTGCTCCTGGACTGCATAACGACCCTCCCCATCCACACCCAAAGGTGTAGAAGACCCCACCTTACACCCCCCAGTTACCAATCAGGTACTTAGCCTTAAACTAAAACCCCCTCTTACTTTTCTTTAACCCTTTCCTGTCTTTTTAACCCCCTCTTGGCCTCATCATGTCTGCCCTGCGCTATTTCTTTTCTTCCCTTTCGCTACGGGCATCTCTTTACCCACAATATCAAAAAGAGTAATCAGACTGCACACCATTTTTCATAAAACACGTTTTTATTTCATCGATCTATAAAAAGGAATGTATTTAACTAACATACATTATCTGTTACATCTAAAAAAAATGTTGCGACAAATTTATACAATAAAAGGATATTTCACTCATATGATATATCAAATTGTGCAGAGTAATGGCCCGACGCATTTCATGGACAAAGTCCACTTCTTCAGGAGCCAATTTATACATCAATATTCTAGAACACGAGTGTCAAACTGGCAGCCCTCCAGCTGTTGCCAAACTACAAGTCCCATGAGGCATTGCAAGATTGACAGTTACAAGCATGACTCCCAAAGGCAGAGGCACGATGGGACCAGGGGCGGACTGACCATTTGGAAACTCGGGCAATGCCCGAGGGCCCAGGGTCAGTAGGGGGCCCCATGAGATGCCCTTGGTACCTTTCTCATAGGCTTTTTTGAGTTTGGGCAAGGACACAGGGGCCCCATGATCCCCTTTTGCCAGGGGGCCCCATGAGTTGTCAGTCCGCCCCTGGATGGGACTTATAGTTTTCGCAACAGCTGGAGGGCCGCCAGTTTGACACCTATGTTCTAGAAGAATAACTAATCAAAATGAGTTCAAATAATGTAAGTTCATGATATGATAATCAACACCCCGCTATCAAAGACAGAAAGAAGAGACCTAAGAGACCCCCAAAAAGTAGGGGGGGGGGGCAGAGCAAAAGCAGGGCACCCAGTGAAAGCCCACAGTGCCAGAGGACCCCCTCCCCATTGGTGTATTTAGGTTTTTGTGCTGCCATAAGCAGTACAAAAATTGTCCGACCCATGGACTCCAACCAACAACCCCCCCCCCCCCCCCCTTGTTCCTCTCCTGGAGAAAACCTCTGACATTGACCAACAACACCCCTGCCCCCTACCTGGGAAAGCCTTCTACAACACCCCCCCCCCCCCCTTGTCCCTCTCGTGGAGAAAACCTCTGACATTGACCAACAACACCCCTACCTGAGAGAGCCTTCCACAACCCCCCCCCCCCCCCCCGGAAAAAGGGAGGAAGACACTCATCTTCAGCTCTGGACATCCCCGGGAATGAGAGTCAGGCTCTACATACACCATTATGCAGCCTCTCTCGGATCCCACCTGGTTCCCATGGAGCACGTGTCCCTGCTTTCATCCCTTCTTCTGGGGGGAGGTGCTGCCCCCCTGGAAAATGCTGCCCTGGGCAAGTGCCTTGTTTGTCTTGTGGTAAATATGCCCCTGCCCCTCCCCCCCGGGACCAGTGCATCACACGTTAATCAGAGCTCAAAGTGCCTCTAATGCCCCGTACACACGATAAGAAAAATCGTACGAAAATTTTCATACGAGGGACCGATCGTCCGATAATCGGATCATCAGGTGTAATCTTTGTAATAAGGTTGGCCATTTGTACAGCCGGTGCCCTGAGGCCATGCATAACCAGTCAGCTTTGGTGGAAGAGTTTTTTCGTCTGGACATGGAAGAGGCAGAGGAGAGGGGGGCTGTGCCAGGGGTCCCCAAAGTCTCTGTCCCGGTGGTCCCAGTGTCTGATGGTCCCTCTAATGTGTCATCTCCTTGTGTTGTGCCCCCTGAGTCCATGGATGTTGTGTCTGATCCTCCTGTGTCAGTTTCCCCAGAGGTAGTGGAGGCTGTCTTAGGATCGGCGGGCATGAGCGTGAGCAAAAGCAGGGCACCCAGTGAAAGCCCACAGTGCCAGAGGACCACATCCGAAAAATCGTACGAAAATTTTCATACGAGGACCGATCGTCCGATAATCGGATTGTTAGTACACAGCTTTCGAGAGCAGGTCACGACAATTCGTGCGACAATATCCGAAGGGACAAGTTCGCAAATTTTTCTCGTACGATACCAGATCCTACGATTTTCGTTTAATCAGTACAGTAGTCATCCAAACATACAATACAAATACATGACATCACTTTCTAAGTTATTTTCTTTTGTATGAGAATTTTCATCTCTTTAGTAACCTTTTCAATTTTGATGTGAGACTAGCAGGCAAAAAAAAAAAACCCGAATGATTGTTCGTCCGATATTCTCATCGTGTGTACGGGGCTTAAGACTAGATGAAGATAATTTTGATTCAAAAATGTTCACATTAACAATAAAACTCATTACCAGGGGCGACTGACCATTTGGAAACTCGGGCACTGCCTGAGGGCCCGGGGTCAGTAGGGGGCCCCATGAGATGCCCCTGGTACCTTTTTCATAGGCTTTTTTGAGTTTGGGAAAGGACACAGGGGCCCCATGATCCCCTATTGCCCGGGGGCCTAATGAGTTGTCAGTCCGCCCCTGCTCATTACCTGTGAAAACAACCATCAACCTACCAGTAGAGTGGGAACAATGGCTGTCATGAATATATGGATTATGTTGCCCCAGTGGCAGGTGACAGTGGAGGATATCAGGTCCCTTCCCAGGAAGCTTCTGGGGGAGAGGATTTTGACTTCTGCTTTCAGTGTGTCACTGGCCTTAAAGGATTGCCCAGGCTCCGTAATGAGGGAGGGGTTGCGTTTAACTTGGAGATAATCCCTTTGAAGTGTAGGGATCAAGCCTGGCTCGCTTTCCATGGAAGGCTGTATGTGAGAGGGAACCTGAAGCATCGCCCTGTGGATGATCGGGATTGTCCTAGAGCAGAGTGTGTTGGTAAAGTGGAGTCTATGGACCACTTTCTGATCCAGTGTCCCTTTAACATAGAGGTGTATAAAAGGGTGGGGAGGGTTCTGGGCATCCCCTTTCTCTATCGCATGAGTTATGCAGAGTGGGTGTACGGGGCATTCCCAGCTCGCTGGGACTTTGATTTGGATAGTTGTTCGTTACTTCACATGGAATGCACGGTGTCAGATTACCCTGCGGAAGAAAGTCCTCCCTGTAGAGGTGGTGGTGCACGATATTCTGGGTAAGGTTGGGAAGATTCGGGGTCTTGAGAAAGGCAGAGAGCCTCGGGCGGTCTGGATAAGGGCGTGGAGGAATATCAGACCTGCCTTTGGTAAACTGTCCATCTCTGGGGGAGGGGCGCTTTTCTTATGCTGTTCTTTTCACTCCCTTAGTTTTTGTTGGTTAAGATCTTCTTTTTGAAGAAGGGCAGGACTGCATGCATAATGGGGGCGGGGCTGCATGCATAATGGGGGCGGGGTTGTTTTTTCACCTCTGAGGTTTGATGTCTAGTGTAGTGATGTGAGTTGTAGTAAGATTTATTCCCCCAGTTATGACGTTCATTTCTGAGAGGGTTGCTTTTGTCTGACAGCAGATTTTGTGTAAATATGTATATAATTATTTATTTTTGTATATTCTGTATATTATTTTGTTTATTGATTGCAAGACTTTTAATTAAGAAAAATGGGAAGAATGTCCCTTACATTGGGGGTCAGTGGGAAGAATGTCCCTTACATTGGGGGTCAGTGGGAAGAATGTCCCTTACATTGGGGGTCTGTGGGAAGAATGTCCCTTACATTGGGGGTCAGTGGGAAGAACGCCCCTTACATTGGAGGTCAGTGGGAAGAATGTCCCTTACATTGGGGGTCAGTGGGAAGAATGTCCCTTACATTGGTGGTCAGTGGGAAGAATGTCCCTTACATTGGTGGTCAGTGGGAAGAATGTCCCTTACATTGGGGGTCAGTGGGAAGAATGTCCCTTACATTGGGGGTCAGTGGGAAGAATGTCCCTTACATTGGGGGTCAGTGGGAAGAATGTCCCTTACATTGGGGGTCAGTGGGAAGAATGTCCCTTACATTGGGGGGTCAGTGGGAAGAATGTCCCTTACATTGGTGGTCAGTGGGAAGAATGTCCCTTACATTGGTGGTCAGTGGGAAGAATGTCCCTTACATTGGGGGTCAGTGGGAAGAATGTCCCTTACATTGGGGGTCAGTGGGAAGAATGTCCCTTACATTGGGGGTCAGTGGGAAGAATGTCCCTTACATTGGGGGTCAGTGGGAAGAATGTCCCTTACATTGGTGATCAGTGGGAAGAATGTCCCTTACATTGGTGATCAGTGGGAAGAATGTCCCTTACATTGGTGATCAGTGGGAAGAATGTCCCTTACATTGGTGATCAGTGGGAAGAATGTCCCTTACATTGGTGATCAGTTGGAAGAATGTCCCTTACATTGGTGATCAGTGGGAAGACTGTCCCTTACATTGGTGATCAGTGGGAAGAATGTCCCTTACATTGGTGATCAGTGGGAAGAATGCCCCTTACATTGGTGGTCAGTGGGAAGAATGTCCCTTACATTGGTGGTCAGTGGGAAAATGTCCCTTACATTGGGGGTCAGTGGGAAGAATGTCCCTTACATTGGTGGTCAGTGGGAAAATGTCCCTTACATTGGGGGTCAGTGGGAAGAATGTCCCTTACATTGGGGGTCAGTGAGAAGAATGTCCCTTACATTGGTGGTCAGTGGGAAGAATGTCCCTTACATTGGTGGTCAGTGGGAAGAATGTCCCTTACATTGGTGGTCAGTGGGAAGAATGTCCCTTACATTGGGGGTCAGTGGGAAGAATGTCCCTTACATTGGGGGTCAGTAAGAAGAATGTCCCTTACATTGGTGGTCAGTGGGAAGAATGTCCCTTACATTGGAGGTCAGTGGGAAGAATGTCCCTTACATTGGGGGTCAGTGGGAAGAATGTCCCTTACATTGGTGGTCAGTGGGAAGAATGTCCCTTACATTGGGGGTCAGTGAGAAGAATGTCCCTTACATTGGTGATCAGTGGGAAGAATGTTCCTTACACTGGTGGTCGGTGGGAAGAATGTCCCTTACATTGGTGATCGGTGGGAAGAATGTCACTTACATTGGTGATCAGTGAGAAGAATGTCCCTTACATTGGTGATCAGTGAGAAGAATGTCCCTTACATTGGGGGGTCGGTGAGAAGAATGTCCCTTACATTGGGGGGTCAGTTGGAAGAATGTCCCTTACATTAGTGGTCGGTGGGAAGAATGTCCCTTACATTGGGGGTCAGTGGGAAGAATGTCACTTACATTGGGGTCGGTGGGAAGAATGTCCCCTACATTGGTGGTCAGTGGGAAGAATGTCCCTTACATTGGTGATCAGTGGGAAGAATGTCCCTTACATTGGGGGTCAGTGGGAAGAATGTCCCTTACATTGGGGGTCAGTGGGAAGAATGTCCCTTACATTGGGGGTCAGTGGGAAGAATGTCCCTTACATTGGGGGTCAGTGGGAAGAATGCCCCTTACATTGGGGGTCAGTGGGAAGAATGTCCCTTACATTGGTGGTCAGTGGGAAGAATGTCCCTTACATTGGGGGTCAGTGGGAAGAATGTCCCTTACATTGGTGATCAGGGGGAAGAATGTCCCTTACATTGGTGGTCAGTGGGAAGAATGTCCCTTACATTGGGGGTCAGTGGGAAGAATGTCCCTTACATTGGTGATCAGTGGGAAGAATGTCCCTTATATTGGTGGTCAGTGGGAATAATGTCCCTTACATTGGTGGTCGGTGAAAGAATGTCCCTTACATTGGTGGTCGGTGGGAAGAATAGCTAATAATATAATTGGTGGTCAGAGGTGACTTATTTGCAAGACAGAAATTTCTCATTGCTCAAGGCACCCCTAGCAGCCTTTGGAGGAACCCTGGTTGGCAAAGCCTGGTTCAGGATGCCGGATCTTTTTTCTTTTGTCTCTCCACTAGTTCTGGTTTAGGTGTTACAGTCAGAATATGTTGGAAATAAAGACTCTGGAATCCCATAATCTCCTATCATGTAAGTTTGTTCTGATTTGTTTTGAAAGCGATTATATAAAAGCAATCTCTTTGTCTTTCCTGCCCTGAAGGCACCGTGACTCAGATGAACATTCTTCTTGTATCCCGGCACTCTGAGCTGCGTAAAGAACATTCTCTGCTTATGAAACCCATTATATATATTACATTTAAACATTATTCACGGGTTCTGCCCCTTTTATTGTTCTCGGCAATTGTCACATTTTTCCTCTGCTACTACCAGTGCCAACCATGGAAGAGAAGAGGAGGTGCCCTCTGGCGTCACGAAGCTGAACGACTCCAATTGGAGATGTGTCTCCGGTGGTCTTCCTGACACGGGAAAATCAAAGCTGGAACAAGATCCTGCCTGAATATCCACGGCTCTGCTTATGGATCCCACCAGTGAAGGACTTGGAGACAAAATGTTCACAATTCACCATTACCAGGAGAACATTCAGAACTTTTATAGAGTCCAGGAAAAACTTTTTTTTTCTAGTTTTGGATAGAACTTCTGTAAGGGTTTTATAGCGGTTTATGTCCAAACCTCCCCATCCAAGGTCACTTTTGGACCTCCTGGTGACCACTGTAGGTAGTCCGGTAGTTGGGCTGTCAGGCTAAATTTAGTTTTGAGTGGAGCAGTAATCACAGCGATCACATGCAAGGCCAGTGCAAGGATTTTTGTCTACACAGGCAATGTTGCATTTGAGCAATGATTACATGTAAGCTATCACATGGTACATGGCACCCTGTACCATGTGATTATCTGTAGCCAATCACAGCATCACAGTAGTAAGCAAGCTGCCATGAATGAAAGCCATTCATGCCAGATGAAACTATTGCTTATAACAGTGATCATCAACAGTGTACAAAAAAAAAATTCTCTGATCACCCCCCCGCCCCCTCCTCAGAGTAGTACAGTGTCAGTGAAGTGCCCTGATGACGGTATGTTAAAAAAAATGTTTAAAAAAGAAAAAAGTTTTAAAAAAATTTTAATTTTTTTCTTTTTTTCACATACAGTCACCAGTCAGTATCCCTGATCACCGCCACACCTGTCATATGATGGCGCTGCACTACGCTGGTGACAGGAAGTGAAACAAAATTGTGAAAATGTTTTTTTTCTTTTTTTTGTTACATAGTTAGTCTGGCTGACTATTCCTTTTATTTCATTTCTTCATTTTCCTAAAAATTGTGACGAAAAATTACAACTTCAAAAAACGCGCCATCTTTCTTACTAAATACCTCAGACTGTCTACTTTTCAAAAAGGGTTCATTTGGGAAGGGGGGGGGGTATTTGTACTGTCCTGGCAGAGTAGGGCCTTAAAGTGTTACTAAACCCCGGACCCCGCATTCACTATATCCGCTCTCCCCGGTCCCACATTCACTATATCGCTCTCCCCGGACCCCGCATTCACTGTATCCGCTCTCCCCGGACCCCGCATTCACCGTATCCGCTCTCCCCGGACCCCGCATTCACTATATCCGCTCTCCCCGGACCCCGCATTCACTATATCCGGTCTCCCCGGACCCCCGCATTCACTATATCCGGCTCTCCCCGGACCCCGCATTCACTATATCCGGTCTCCCCGGACCCCGCATTCACTATATCCGCTCTCCCCGGTCCCACATTCACTATATCCGCTCTCCCCGGACCCCGCATTCACCGTATCCGCTCTCCCCGGACCCCGCATTCACCGTATCCGCTCTCCCGGACCCCGCATTCACTATATGCGGTCTCCCCAGACCCCGCATTCACTATATCCGTCTCTCCGGACCCCGCATTCAATCCGCTCTCCCCGGGACCCCGCATTCACTATATCGGATCTCTCCCGGACCCGCATTCACTATATCTGCTCTCCCCGGACCCCGCATTCACTATATCCGCTCTAAACGGAGCCCGCATTCACTATATCCCGCTATCGGAGCATTCACTCTAGCCCCTAACGGACCCCGCATTCACTATATCCGCTCTCCCGACCACGCTGTCACTATTATGCGCTCCCCAGGACAACCCCGCATTTCACTATTATGTCCGATATCCTCGGACCCGCATTCATATATCCGCTCTACCGGACCCCGAATTCACTAGTATACGCTATCACCCGGACCCCGCATTCACCTATACTCCGCACTTCTCCCCGGACTCACCGTGCATTCCACTATATCCTGCTCTCCCGGACCCGCAATCACTATATCACGCTCTCACAGGACCCGCATTCACTATATCCGCTCTCCCGGAGCTCGCATTCACTACATCTGCTCTCCCGGACCCCGGCATCACTATATCTGCGCTCTCCTCGGGCCACCGGCATATCACTATTTCCGCTCTCCCCGGAGCTCGCATTCACTACAATTACTCTCCCTTGGAGCTGCATTCACTATATCCGCGCTCCCGGCGATCCCGCATTCACTATATCCGCTCTCTCGGGACCCCGCATTCACTGTTTTCCGCCCTCCCCCCCCCTCCGCTCCGCCCCCCCCGGCTCGGACCCCCCCAAACTCATAGATATCCCTCTCCCCCGGACCCGCCGCATTCTCACTATATCCGCTCTCCCGGACCCGCTATGCATCTATTATCGCTCTCCAGGATCCCCGCTCATTCACTATATCAATTCTCCCCGGAGCTCGGCATTCATCGATAATATGTCTCCCCGGACCACGCATTCAAGCTATATCTGCTTCCCCGGACCCCGCCATTCACTATAATGCGCTTCTCCCCGGGCCCCATCTTTCACTATTATCGGCTCTCCGCCGGACCTCGCATTCCAACAAACATCCACTCTCCCCGGACCCTGCTTCAATTATATTCTGCTCTCCACCGGAACCAGCATTCAATATTATCCGCTTTCAACCGGACCTCGCATATCTACTGTATCGCTTCCCCGGACCCGCGTCACTATATCCCTTCCGGACCCCGCATTCACTATAATCGCTCTCCCGGTACCCAGCATTCTCCATATCCGGACTCTACCCTCGGCACCCCGCATTCATTTATTCCGCTCTCCTCCGGATCCCGCATTCTCGATATGACGCTTCCCGGAACCCGCATTCACTATATGTCGCTTCTCCCCGGACACCGCGATTCATATATCCGCTCTCCCCCGGACCAAGCATTCACTATATCTGACTCTCCCCGAACCCCGGCATTCCAACTTGCATCTTCACGCTCTCAACGGACCACCGCAATTCAGACAAATATCCGCTCTCTACACCGGAACCCAGACATTCCAGATATCCTATCTCCCGGAGCTCCGCAATCCACTACATTGCTCTCCGCGGACCAAGGCATTCCACTCATATTCCGCTCTCCCCGGGACCCCCTGCATTCACTATATCCACTCTCCACAGGAGCGCGAATTAACTATATAGCGCTCATCCCCGGACCCAGCACTTCCACTTTATCCGCATCTCCCCGGACCACGCATTTCCACTATATCCTGCTCTCCCCGGACCCGCATTCACTATATCCGACTCTCCCCGGACACCCGCCATTCTCTAATATCCGCTCTCCCGGAACACGCATTCACTATATCGGCATCTTTTTCCCCCCGGACCCCGCATCAGCTATATCCGCTCTCCCTGGACTCGCATTACTACATCCATCTTCTTCCCCCGGACCCTGCATTTCACTATATCCAGCTCTACCCGGACCCCGCATGCCACTATATCCGCTCTCCCTGGACCCCGCAGTTCACTGTATCCGCTCTCCCTGGACCCCGCATTCACTGTATACTCCCCTCTCCCCGGACCCGCCGTTCACTATATCCGCTACTATCACCGGTCCCCTAGCATTCACTATACTTCTTGCTATCCCGGACGCGCATTCCCTATATCCGCTGCTACCCGGACCCCCCGTATTAACTATAATACGCTCTCCGGACCCCGCATTCCTATATCCGCTCCACCGGTACCCCGCATTCACTTTAATGCGCTTCCACGGACCCCGCATTTCACTATATCCGCTCATCCCCGGACCAGCATTCACCATATCAACTCTCCGGACCCCGCTTTCACTATATCCGCTCTCACGGACCGCATTCACTATTATGGCTCTCCCCGGACCCGCATTCACTATATGCGCTTCCCCGGACCCTGCTCATTCACTATATCGCTCTCCACCGGGACCCAGCATCTCCACTATATGCGTCTCCCCGGACCATGCAATCACCATATCCGCTATCCAGGACCCTGCCATTCTCTATTATGCTGCTCTCACCCGGACCCTGCTATTCACTATTTCCGCTATCGACACCTGGGACCCCGCATTCACTGTATCCGTCTCCTGGACCCGCAATCACTAGATCCGCTCTCCGGACCGCGTTCACTACTATGACGCTTCCCGGACCCCGAATTTCACTGATATCTGCTCTCCGGACCCCGCAATCACTATATTTGCTCCTCCTGGAGCCCCCGCATTCACTGATTATCCGCTCTCCCGGAGAACCCCCCCGTATTCACTATATCCGCTCTCCCCGGACCCGCTTCACTTTATCCGCTTCTCTCGGACCCGAATTCACTATATAGCGCTCTCCCGGACCCCGCATTCCAACTATATCGACTTCCCCGGACCCCACATTCACCCTTTATCGCTTCCGGACCCGCATTCACTATATTCCGCTTCACTATATTTGCGCTCCTTCCCCGGACCCCGCTTTCACTTTATGCGCTCCCGGACCCCTGCATTCACTATATCCGCTCTCCCGCGACCCCGCATTCACTATCATGCGCTCTCCCCGGACATGCATTCCATATATACGCTGTCACAGGGACCCTGAATTCACTATATGCGCTCTCCCGGACCCTGCATTTCACTATATCCGCTCTCCCCAGATCTCGCAGTTCACTATATACGCTCTCCCCGGACCCTGCATTCACTATATACGTGTACCACAGCTTACAAACATGAAAAATGCAATAATTGTAGTAAAATAGAAACTTGCTAACTAATTCCTTTATTACGCAGGTCTGAGAATACAGCTCAGGGTTCCAAGTGAATGAAGGTCCCGTCCAGGGGGTCAGAGGACCCAGCTCGGGAAACCAAAAAAGCAAATGGGGACAGGAACGGTCTCTTGTTCCAAGAGTCAGATTGGCTCCTATTTGGTGGGTGTTCAGGAGAATCCCCCAATCCTTAGGCCAGAGGTGGGCCTTGCAGCGGTGGTGCTAGAGAATGAAGATTAGTAGAGCCAAGTATTCAGGAAGAGGTACTACAAATTGAAAACTGAGGTGAGCTTAGGAGCCAGGTGCTTTTGGCATTTTCCAGTGTTTGATGTGTTACTGTTGCTAAAGAATGATCACCTGTGGTGGAAATCATTTATTTTGAACGGAGCGAGATGGGGGGGGAGAAGGAGGGAGAAGGGAAAGAAGAGACAGAGCAGGTGAGAGGGAGAGAGAGACAGGATGGAGAAGGAGAGAGAGGAGAGGGGACGGGAGGAAAGAAGGACATGAGAGAGGGAGAGAGACAGAGCAGGAGTCGGGGGGAGAGAGGAGAGAGAGAGAGGGAGAGAGACAGAGCAGTGAGGGGAGAGAGAAGGGAGGGGGGGATGAGAGTGGGGAGAGATGAGAGAGGGGGTCGAGAGGGGGGGGGAGAGACATAGAGAGCAGAGAGGGAGATGGGAGAGGAGGGAGAGGGAGAGAGAGGGAGGAGACAGAGCAGGAGGGGGAGAAGAGAGAGTGAGAGAGACAGAGCAAGGAGAGTGGATGAGAGAGAAGGTACGAGAGAGGGAGAGGAGATCGGGGATGGGAGAGAGAGGGAGAAGGGGGGGAGAAGGGGAGATGGAGAGAGGGGGAGAGAGGGGGAGGGGACATGAATGGGCAGACGAGAGAGGGGAGGGAGGGGGAGAGAGAGATCGGGAGGGGGGGAGATGGGTAGGCAAGGGGGAGAGAGAGGGAGAGGAGGAGAGAGAGAGAAGGGGGGGAAGAGACAAGAGGAGGGAGGGGAGAGGGGAGGGAGCGAGGAGAGAGAAGAGAGAAGAGGGAGAGGGAGAGAGGAGAATGAGAGGGGATAGAAGAGGGGGGGGAGGGCAGAGAGAGATCAGGAGGAGGGAGTCGGGACCAGAGAGAGGGAGAGGAGAGAGTGAGGGGGAGAGGGTAGAGGAGGAGGGCGAGGTGGGGGAGAGAGGAGAATAGGGAGAGAGCGGGGGGAGAGGTAGTGCATGGAGTTTATATAGCGCCAAAAGGGTTTGCTCAGCGCTGTACAATAGAGGGGGGGACAGAACATGAGACGTACAACAACAAAACAGACAGCGTACGAGGGGTGTGAGAGGGCCCTACTCTTTCGAGTTTACAATCTAGGATCTGTAATGCTCCTGCGCTCCGTCTCGTATTGCACCTCCATGGCAGACGATGCAGTAAAGTGGGGAGATAAATGTTGCTGCGATATAATCGTCATTTCTATATATACTGTATACACACTACATGGATTGGATGAAGGCAGGAAAGGGTTAAGTGGGAAGGTGTAGGAGGGGGGAGGGGAGTGTGAGTCCCCCATCATCAGCACATGGAGGGATCCTCCTCATTCTCGGTATCTGTCCTTATTCTGTATGTATGGACTCTGCACAGTCCCACTTCTCCTGTCCCGGATGCCGGGTGTCATTCTCGGTATCTGTCCCCGTTCTGTATGTATGGACTCTGCACAGTCCCACTTCTCCTGTCCCGGATGCCGGGTGTCATTCTCGGTATCTGTCCTTATTCTGTATGTATGGACTCTGCACAGTCCCACTTCTCCTGTCCTGGATGTCGGGTGTCATTCTCGGTATCTGTCCCCGTTCTGTATGTATGGACTCTGCACAGTCCCACTTCTCCTGTCCTGGATGCCGGGTGTCATTCTCGGTATCTGTCCTTATTCTGTATGTATGGACTGTCTGCTTTGTGTTGTGAACTTCTGAAGAATACATTCTAGAATCTTTCACAAAGATATTCGAGAAACATTGTAGCGGAATATAACAATTGTGTTGGGACTGTATTGATTTTATTGAAAATGTATTGATTGTATGGGGACTGTATTGATTGTATTGGAAATGTATTGATTGTATGGGGACTGTATTGATTGTATTGGAAATGTATGGATTGTATGGGGACTGTATTGATTTTATTGGAAATGTATTGATTTTATGGGGGCTGTATGGATTGTATTGGAAATGTATTGATTGTATGGGGGCTGTGTTGATTTTATTGGAAATGTATTGATTGTATGGGGGCTGTATGGATTTTATTGAAAATGTATTGATTGTATGGGGGCTGTATGGATTGTATTGGAAATGTATTGATTGTATGGGGGCTGTATTGATTTTATTGGAAATGTATTGATTGTATATGGGGGCTGTATTGATTGTTTTGGAAATGTATTGATTGTATGGGGGCTGTATTGATTTTATTGGAAATGTATTGATTGTATGGGGATGTATTATGTTGGGAATGAAATAAATGAGTATTGGGAATGTATCCATTGTATTGGTTATGGAATGATTCACCAGACGGCCATCACTGATCACTGTGTATATTTGTAGATGAACATCATCTTCAGATTCCTGCCTCTCCGGTGAGAATCACGCTCCTCTTCCCCATCTCGCCTTCATTCTACCAGGATGGAGGAGGAGAGGATGACGATGACGGAGACGATCTTGAGTCTCACTATGGAGATCATCTACCTGCTGCTTGGAGAGGTGAGGAGGATTCTGGGAATTTCACACTCCATCACACTTATATTGAGGGCTTATAGACAAAATGAACAATTGTGCTCAAATGTTTGGAGAATTGGGAATATACAGGATGCACCATTTATGTTTTTGAAGAACCCGTTTCTTTTATTTCTTATGAGATTCATATTCCGTAACTGAAGGTGATACCCGAATGGGCCAATCATACAACAGAACATGGCAACAAGTAAACCAATGAAATGCCCCCCTGTTCAATAGTCTGCACCCCCTTAGTTCTTAATCCTGTGTATGGTCCCCTTTATCATCAATGATGGCGGTCAGTCTCCTGTAATAGTTGTCTGAGGCCCCCGAATTCCTGCAGGTGGTAGAGCTGCCCATTCGTCTCGGCAAAATGTCTCCAGGTCATGCAAAGTCTTTGGTGGTCTTGTGTGAACCGCAGGTTTGAGATTTCCCCAGAGCAGCTTGATGATATGAAGGTCAGGAGACTGTGATGGCCACTCCAGAACCTTCACTGTCTTCTGCTGTAACCACTGAAGGGTCAACTTGGCCTTGTGCTTTGGGCCATTGTTGTGCTGGAAAGTCCAAGAGCCGCTTTTGTGCAGAAGAATGCAAATTGTCCTCCAGTATTTTCTGACAACACGCTGCACACATCTTGCCATCAATTTTCACAAGATTCCATGTGCCTTTAGAGCTCATACACCCCCAAAATATCAGTGAGCCACCACCATGCTTCACAGTGGGGATGATATTGTTTTTGTTATAGGCCTTGTTGACCGCTCTCCCAACATGGCGCTTATGGCTGTGACCATAAAGCTCTATTTTGGTCTTGTCACTCCAGATTACAGTGTGCCAGAAGCTGTGAGGCGTGTCAAAGTATTGTTGGGCAAATTGTATCCGGGCTTTTTTGTGACATTGGCACAGTAAAGGCTTCTTTCTGGCAACTAGACCATGCAGCTCATTTTTGTTCAAGTATCGTCATATTGTGCTCCTTGAAACAACCACGCTGTCTTTTTCCAGAGCAGCCTGTATATATCTGAGGTTACCTGTGTGTTTTTTCTTTATATCCCGAACAATTCTTCTGGAAGTTGTGGCTACAATCTTTCTTTGTCTACCTGAACTTGACTTGGGATCAGGAGATCCCCGAATTTTCCACTAATTAGTAAGTGATTGGGCAGCACTGACTGGCATATTCAAGGCTTTGGACATCTTTTTACATCCTTTTTCATCTTTAAAAATCTCCATTACCTTGTTACGCAGGTCTTTTGACAGTTCTTTTCTGCTCCACATGGCTCAGTATCTAGCCTGCTCAGTGCATCCACATGAGAGCTAACAAACTCATTGACTATTTATACACTGACACTAATTGTGATTTAAAAAGCCACAGATGCGGGAAATTAACCTTTTAATTGCCATTGTAACCTGTTTGTCACCTTGTATGTCTGTACCAAGGCTGAACATTCCAGGGGGCGGAGACTTCTGATCAGGGGGGCGTAGACTTCTGATTCAGGCCATTTGGGGGATTTCTGTTATTAGGATTTAAAAAGGATCCAAACAATTATGTGATAATAAATGGCTTCATATGATCATCATCCTTCAATAAAAGACAGTTTTTTGGCATCATCAGTCAGATTTTCAATATCAATGCCAAAAATGTCGCCATTTCTGCCGGGGGGAGGGAAACTTTTCACTACTAATGTATTCTTTTGTTATTGGTGGAATGATGAAAGGTTAGCCCTGTTGGGGTTTTATTGCGGTCAGTGTCCCCACTGTGGAGATTCACCCTCTGCAATTGTCTTGGGGGTTCCACAAAACGTCCTGGACCACATTGGGTCATTGACATCTCCCAGGAGACCCGCAGTTGTATTTACATTCTGCAGGCAGGAATTTATGCGGTAGTTTGGTGGGTCCACCAACAGTAAACCCGACTTGAACCCACACTCAAGAGGTATTTAGGGTATTAACAGGCATGAGGTGACCATCACTGTGGCTGAAGATGAAAACCATGTGGTGACCTCATGTCCCCAGCCAGGGCTAGGACAAGGTCATGTGGCAACCAAGATGAAGATACCACACCAAGAAGAGCTATGAGGTTTGTGCAATATAGAATTTCAGGTCACTAGAATATTGTCATGGTCAGACCAGGGGATTAGTTGTGGGAGAAATTGGTGGTGAACAAAACAATGGAGTGTGAAATGTGTATAGTCCTTAGAGATGGAATAAACTTCCCTCTATGCATCAAGAAGACTTGTGGAATCTTAAAGATCCCTGAATGTTTCAGATGCATAACCACTTGAGCTCTGGAAAATTTTACCCTCTTTGAGACCAGGCCATTTTTTGATATTTAGCACTGAGTTACTGTGACGGGAGTCACTTTGGGTGGGGGGCCCATGGAACCCAGTGCACTTTGGAGAGGTGGGGAGACCCCAGTCTCGGCTCACCATATCCCTCTTATGTGTAAGTCACCCTGTGCCTGTTAGGGATACAGGGTGATCTGTCCTAATATTGGGGGGGGGGGGTTGTGGATTGATTAACGCCATGTGGTTGCATCCCATTGTTCTATTGTGTGTGTCTTACTTGGGAGCAAACTATTATGGGATGTATGTGTTTGTGTATTGGCTTGGTGGGGGGTGTTTCCAGCAGCCCTCCCTCCTGATGGGACTGTCTGTTGGTGTGTCTCTTGTTAATAAAGGTAGATTGCTCAGCCCTGTGTCATTATGCAGGGGGGGGGGGTTGTTCCCTTGAATGTATATATCTTGTATCTGTGTTAAAATAAAGTAGTCTATTTCCTGGTTTACTTCAAGACTGGTGTCGTCTAGTCATGTACGGTCTGCTGTGGTCGGTGTTCGGACAGGGAAGCGGTATTATAATGGAAGTAGACAGTGCAGATTGGGTTGGTTCCGTTACATTGGTGGGAAGCGGTGGGATTGTGCTTCCTGGCTGTGAACACGTCCAAACCACCACCGGGATTCAAGATCAGGAAAGTAGACGTCGGTCACCCCAGTGGAGCTATGGACCTGGCATCAGAGTTCCCGGGGCTGCTGTGGATCGTCCTTGCAACATACCCCAGGACTGTGTCTACGCATCAGTACCTGGAGCTCAGGCAGCGGATTCGGGTGGTGCTTTGGAGTGGAGCCCTCCAGGTTGCTGATATGTACAAGGGCAAGTACTATCCAACCCCAGGGGAACGGGCCAGGAACCATCGGAAGTTACGGATGCCATTCCTGGGAGAGCGACTTCAGGAGCATTGGGTGACTGAGTTGGACAGGCTGGTCCAGCAGGAGATAGAGCTGGACAACCGATATCGGGCTCTGCAATGGTACGCAGAGCAGAAATATCTTGGGGTGACAACAGAATGTTCTCCAGAGGGATATGACTTTCGTTGCCCTGGATTGCTGTGGGAGAGCCTTACAGATCATTTTGTGTTTGGCGATGAAGGAGAACCTACCCTTGAGGACCTGCGAGAAGACAGAGAGGCTATTTTTGGTCTCACAGGGGTCTCAGAGCTTGAACCAGATCTGGAATACCTGCTGATGAAAGAACAGCATCTGAAAAGGGCATACAGGCAACTGCTAAAACATGTTCAGCACCATGCCCAAGAATCGGCAGTGGAAATTCCAGAGATTGTCGTCCCCAAACCTAAAGTGCTGACGAAGGGAAGAGCTCTGCTAGCCTCTGCCCAGCGCTGGTAACATCTTCTGGGTTCAACGAACAGGAGATGGTGAACCCCAATCCCCAGACACCAGTTCCAGAGACTGGGGATTTGATTGACTTCCCTGCTGAGGAAAAAACAACCTGGTAGGCCTCCAGCCGAAGAGCTGGCAACAGGGCCAAACATTGCTGAACTCTGCCCAGCACTGGTAACATCTTCTGGGTTCCACGAACAGGAGATGGTGAACCCCTATCCCCAGACACCAGTTCCAGAGACTGGGGATCTGATTGACTTTTCTGCTGAGAAGGAACCAGCCGGAGCGCCTCCAGCAGAAGAGCTGGCATCAGGGCATGGCGTGGTTGACCTTTGCCCACAACAATCAGCACCACAGGGGCTACAGGAAGAGGATGCAATCGGCACCTCACAAAGGCAGCTTGAGCTGATGTCCGTGGATGGGACTTCGGTCTCCACTGACACAACTCCAGAAGAAGGTCTGGCATTGGGACCGGAGGTTGTCAGCCTTACTTTGCAAACACTGGGGGATGTCCATCATCATCTCAAAGTGGATGAGAATACAGTCACCACCTGGATACCCCAGGGATGCTGGGCAGTCGGCCCAGATCCCCCATCGCATGATGGAGTCGGCCCAGCCACCCTGTCTTCTCTCCAGTGGCTTACAGGACTTTAGGGAGAAGGACCAATCCGTACTTCTCCCCAGCGGCGGGTATGTTCTATGAGAGAGGTTGGCTGGGTGAGTAATGCTTTGTGTGGGACAATTTGGGGAACTGTGTGGGTGCTGGCATTGGAGAACTGGAAGTACAGACTAACTTCGGAGTCCACCCGTCTGGGGTTTACTCCTGTGTTTAGTCTCCTTTCGAAAGTGGAGATATTTGACGGGAGTCACTTTGGATGGGGGGCCCATGGAACACAGCTCACTTTAGAGAGGTGGGGAGACCCCTGTCTCAGCTCCCCATATCCCTATTATGTGTAAGTCACCCTGTGCCTGTTAGGGGTACAGGGTGATATGTCCTAATATTGGGGTGGGGGGTTGTTGATTGTTAATGCCATGTGGCTGCATCCAATTCTATTGTGTGTCTTGCTTGGGAGCAAACTATTATGGGATGTATGTGTTTGTGTATTGGCTTGGTGGGGGGTGTTTCCAGCAGCCCTCCCTCCTGATGGGACTGTCTGCTGGTGTGTCTCTTGTTACTAAAGGTAGATTGCTCCGCCCTTTGTCATTATGCAGGGAGGGGGGATTGTTCCCCTGAGTGTATATATCTTGTATCTGTGTTAAAATAAAGTAGTCTACCTCCTGGTTTACTTCAAGACTGGTGTCGTCTAGTCTTGTATGGTCAGC